TGAAGTGACGTAGAGTAGCTGGTTTGTGAGTGAGGGAACTCAGTTGTCAGCAGATCAGTGGAGTGAAGTGACGTAGAGTAGCTGGCTTGAGTGAGGGAGCTCAGTTGTCAGCAAATCAGTGGTGTGAAGTGACGTAGAGTAGCTGGTTTGTGAGTGAGGGAACTCAGTTGTCAGCAGATCAGTGGAGTGAAGTGACGTAGAGTAGCTGGTTTGTGAGTGAGGGAGCTCAGTTGTCAGCAGATCAGTGTAGTGAAGTGACGTAGAGTAGATGGTTTGTGAGTGAGGGAGCTCAGTTGTCAGCAGATCAGTGGAGTGAAGTGACGTAGAGTAGCTGGTTTGTGAGTGAGGGAGCTCAGTTGTCAGCAGATCAGTGGAGTGAAGTGACGTAGAGTAGCTGGTTTGTGAGTGAGGGAGCTCAGTTGTCAGCAGATCAGTGGAGTGAAGTGACGTAGAGTAGCTGGTTTGTGAGTGAGGGAGCTCAGTTGTCAGCAGATCAGTGGAGTGAAGTGACGTAGAGTAGCTGGTTTGTGAGTGAGGGAGCTCAGTTGTCAGCAGATCAGTGGAGTGAAGTGACGTAGAGTAGCTGGTTTGTGAGTGAGGGAGCTCAGTTGTCAGCAGATCAGTGGAGTGAAGTGACGTAGAGTAGCTGGTTTGTGAGTGAGGGAGCTCAGTTGTCAGCAGATCAGTGGAGTGAAGTGACGTAGAGTAGCTGGTTTGTGAGTGAGGGAGCTCAGTTGTCAGCAGATCAGTGGAGTGAAGTGACGTAGAGTAGCTGGTTTGTGAGTGAGGGAGCTCAGTTGTCAGCAGATCAGTGGAGTGAAGTGACGTAGAGTAGCTGGTTTGTGAGTGAGGGAGCTCAGTTGTCAGCAGATCAGTGGAGTGAAGTGACGTAGAGTAGCTGGTTTGTGAGTGAGGGATCTCAGTTGTCAGTTGAAAGTCTGCCTGTGAAGAGAAAGCTAGTCGGTGCGAAATGACCGCCAACTTGGAAGTAGTCAGTTGACAAGAATTCTGTACTTTCGGCTGTGACAGGAAGACCTGAGCGCGTGAAGCCAAAGAATCTCCTCTGTTAGAAGCCATTGCCAGAAAACATCGCATGCAACAACCTCTTAATGCAATGTGACATGAGACCTAAGAGGAGTCAGAAGAGATGGCAGTTGCTAGGCAACAGTTCAGTAAACACGTCCCCGCAGCAACGAATACACACGCAAAAAATATTGGAATAAACTGACAGAAAGATGATCTCAGAAATCCTCCTTTTGTTTTTTTTCAAAATAATGGAAAGTAGGCTAAAAAATGGATCAATTTTGAATGTAACGGGAACAGATGAAAACTTTGTCAATGACGACTATAGAAACTGGATCCAGGATCTTTCGTTAAGGGTAGACGATTACCTAACCGATTCCTTAGAGCAGGGTCTTCGTTGAGAATCTAATATTGGCCGAGATAATAAAAAATTCCCTTCAATTTTGTGGAACCCGAAGGTTCATTACCGTGTTCACACCAGCTCGCTACTTGTCTCTGTTCCGAGCCAAATGGATCCAGTAGACATCCTCGAGTTCTCCTTCGTAAAGACCATTGAGGAGCTGACAGCAGAACGAAACACGTGACCGGAAGCAGCAGCCGACACGGTTTATCTTCACAGCGAAACACAAATGGCGGGAGGGGGGAGGGGAGACAGGCGGAAGAAACATCTACAGGTGTCACATAATTAATCAATACGAACATGCAGTAATTAAACTTATGCTTTTGAGAGATCGTTGAATGGCAACTTAAGATCTCGATATACGTATGTCACTGCTTTCATTTTATTGAGGAGCATGGACAATGACCGGGATTTCTGGAAATATACCTCTTCGTTCGCTAAACAAAATCATTAATCGACAGATCTCCTTCTCTCTCGATCATACTGCCCCATAACGTGAAACGTAATCGCTTACCGAAACGTCTCTCAAACGTCTGCAGCATAGCCTTCATTCATCAATGGCTCTACAGCCCTTTGCTGGGCACAGACCTATTCTTCAATTTCGTAATATTTTCTTACACAGACGGTACGACTCCTTGGACGGGAGATAAGTCCATCGCAAAGCCGCTACCTACACACAGGACAACACAAACACAGAATAAAAGCACACACAGACATCCATGCCTTGAGTTGGATTTGAATTCATGACAGTGCATGCCTTAGACCGCGCGGCTGCTGTGATCGGGCAGGCTTGCAGACTACAACCGTGGGTTCTATAAAAATACGTAAATACATCCAAGTGACATAATCACATCTTAAGAATAGACTCGTAAAGACTGACTCAAAGCGCTAAGAATTAGCAACCAGACGGAAGAAGAAATGTTGGACAGACAAGAAGACGATGGTAGGATAGCCTATGAGATCGAACAGGCTAATACACTGCTATCCTGAAGAAGACGATGGCTACATAAATCTTACCAACATCGTAACAAAAAGATAGGTAACAGATAGCGGCCTCCATAGTCTAGGGGTAACGTGGGTTCAAACCCGGCGGTGGTCGTGGAATTTTTAAGGGCGGAAAAATTCAGGGAACAAGTCCTCCGGGAGGGACTTTAAGCCGTGGGTCCCGTGTCGTAGCTTTACGGCACGTAAAAGAACCTCATGTCCCTAAGGGACCACTGAGCCAAATTGATCGGACATTTCCCGCCCAACAGTAGTCTCTAACGCCTCTGATAGATGGGGGATGCATCGAGAGATACCGCTGAGCCAGTGGAGGCCGAACTCGCTGGCTTAGTTGGGACTGATGGCACGCACCAGTATCGGTAGGGTATAGAGACTGGTAGAATATTACAGAGGGGACGTACAACAGACCACTGGTCGCGCTGCATGGGGAAACCCACCCCTCCAATAATAATAATAATAATAATAGGTAACAGATCGTTCTAAAATATTGTAAACATAAAATATTATGGAATGACGTCAACAAATCAGTCATAAGGTATTTACAGCGAACTGAACTGAGGAATTGTTTGTCATCGCTCAGTTTAAATCGTTCATTTCCCTCTTCGATCTAAAAAGTGCAGTTCTTAAAACACACAAAATTATAATTTCATGTCTTATATTAGGCACTATGCTGCAAGCCGGAAGGTTGTGGGTTCCATTCGCGATGACGTCCATGGATTTTCAGTTGACCTAATCCTTCCAGTCGCCACATGATCCTAGGGTCGACTCAGCCTCTAACAGAAATGAATATCAGGAATCTTCCTGGGGGGTTAAGGGCGGCGGGCGCTTAAGCCTGACAATCTCACGCCATCTGTGAGCCGATTGTCTACAGAAAATGTGGGAGCCTCGACGTCTCACAAACTTATGAGTGTCCATGAATTGTTACAGGGATAACTTTACTTTTTCTTACCTGCTGTATTACATGAATGTGGAGGTTGGTCTCATTGAGGGAAGGACGTGGGTTTTGAGTGTATGAAGAGAAAATGGCGGTGTAGAAAACCGACATTAACGGCCGTGGGAATCCGTTGCGCTGACCACGCGACACCCTCTATCCGCAAAATTTGGCACTAGCTTCGCCGACAAGTGGAGGTCCCTCGGTCAGTTCGCTTGTGGACTAAAGGCCACGGAGGAAGGCGGAATGTTGACAAGAATATTTGGACCTAATGGGGAGGAAGCAATAAAAATCTGAAGAAAACTGTGAAATGAAAAACTTTATGAGTTGTACTCTGTGCCAAACACAATCCAAATACTGAGAGGGTCATTAAAAATTATTGGGGTTATGAAAGCAAGGAGGGTGCTATGGAAAGCACATATAGCATGCGTGAATAATAATAAAAATGCATATAAAAATTTAGTATGAATACCTAAATCGAAAATAGCACGTAGAATTTGGAGTGTATACATACAAGAATAATATTAAAATGATGGATTCGATGTTCTCACAGCGGTGGTTATGAAGAGTACTATATTCTGGAATATAAAGACAATTAACCCATTCAAAGCCAATCGACGTTTCTGAGGAACATGTTGCCTACATCTGCGGGGTGGAAGCAAGCGACAAGAAGAGCGCGAATACTTTCAAGCTAGTATTTTCCTCGGCTTATTCTTCGACCCTGAAGATGGAGGCAATATCTTGCTCCGAGACGTCGGTTGATTTTAAACTGACTTCACGACGTTATGTCCCAGAAAACAGTAATCTTCAATATTAAAATTTATCTTAAAATATCAGTACGTGAAGTTGTGGGCAAGGTTCAACTGATCCATTATGCAGTTCAGTTGTGTGCCCTTGTGAACATGGCAGTAAGTTCTGGGTTCCTTAAAGGCAGAGAACCTGGCGATCAGCAAAGATTATCAGATCCGCCCAATGTATGAAGTAAATCGTTAGAAGAAGTGTGATTTCAATTTACGTGTTTCTGCTGTCATTTGTAACGTAACGTAGCGTAGGGCCGATCACGCTAAAGGGGAAGTGTAACGGTTCTTACGAGCATACGTGGAAGGAAATGCTCGGTTATCAGTAATCGTGACTAGGGCAAAGTCGGAGGCCGTGGAAAGGGAGTACGGTGCGATTACTTTGCTGATCATGACAAGTTCCACGGGCTAGTTGCCAGGTCGCAGTCACGGGTAGAGTTGGTCTTTGCGTTTCCTTACATAATGTATTCATTAAAATAAATAATGAAAAATCGATATATTTAAGCAATTTTCAAGTAAATTTACATAGCATATTTGTACTTCTCAATGTAATGAAATTTGTTTTCGTCGAAAAGAAAGTATAAGTTATCAGTGGTGATATCTGTTTAACAACAAACTCCTTCGAAATGTCGAAAAATTACGGTAAGTTCGTCTCAGTGAATTCACTACAACACTGGACAGAATATATAGAATTACACTATATTTATAATAACATAATTGTAATCATACAGGAGTCTTGAAATTATCTGTTAATTTCCTGAAATGTTAGTTTCGTCAAAATACCTAACCTCAATAAATTTTAGAAGTTATGGAAAGATAGCTGCGTTTATCAAAACGACGTTAAATTTGACAAAATAATAATATGGACTAAAATCGATGACTTTTATTTATTTTTTGAGAAGGTGAACACGACACTGACGACTCAGTCTCACCTTCCAAGTGCAGCCATCTTGTCTTACGTCATCACCTACTTGCTAACGCACATAGCGACAGAAGAGTAAACCTTATTCTTTTACGTGTAATTATAAAATGACCATCATTCCAACAGCCATGCCTACAATTTTCTACCTGGGTTGCAATCCTAACATCTAAGAACTGTGTCAGTTTTCGGTAAATTATTCTCTTTGTACACCTGTCACAACATCTGTTGTTACCCTATATTCGTTTCTTTATAAAAGGAAAGTAGGGTTATTAGTTCACTATGTTATTTGTGTATGTGTCTCCGTGGATCAGTTGACAGGTGTTCAAGAAATGAACGTTATGCCACTGGAGGTCACTCCAACCTCGTACGCAGCCGCCAAACCTCATATCCGGCTCTAGAACCGTTAGAAACAACATGGCGGGCATATAGATTCGTGAGACGCAAAGGACACACTTTTTTTATTGCTAGTAGGGTGGGACTAAGTCCCTTTTACTTTGTCCATCACAAATCCCACTTAACCAGACCCCGGGATCGAACCCGGGCCGCCGCTGTGGGAAGCCAGCGACTAACCGCTTGAGCTATGGCGCGGCCTAAACGACACTTAATTTGGTTTTTATTTTTGTAGGATATAAAAAAGAAAGAAGCATGTAGATTCTGTGAAACATTCATTTAGCCCTCAGCTTGGCAACCATAAATAATACACCACTGTAAAGGGGAGTCTGGAATTCTGTATGAAATCATAAACAGACCTAGAAATTTTACATTAAACTTTTATAAGCATGGTGACGGAGTAAGTCTTTCAGGTTTAATTTAACAAATTTTTCGTAGACAGTATTTGTACTCAATCGGTAAGTTATTTAAAAAAAGACAATAATAATAACGATAAGAATAATATAAGTACCTAAACATATTACGAGTCTGGATAGTTCAGTTGGTATAGCGACTGGCTATAAGCTGGATGACCTAGGGGTCAGAGTTCGAGTCCCGGCAGGGGCAAGAATTTTTTGTCCTGCATTTCGTCCAGACTGGATCTGGGGCCCACTCAGCTTCCTATCCAATTTCTTTCCCAAGGGTAAAGCGGACGGGGTGTGAAGCTGACCACTCACCTCCAGCTAGTGCCGAGGTCTAGAAAATGTGTATCTATACATCCACTCCCCAATACGCTTTCATGGCGTAGTGCTTAATTAGTTAGGCACAGGGACTACTTTACCTTTTACCTATAACATGTTTAGAAATGTAAGCAAGGACAAACCTGTCCGGAGTAACATCTGAACTTATAACCACCTGCGTACGAATCCAGCACGCTGACATATGAGACACTGCCTTCTGTAAAGGTAAAGGTAAAGCTGTCCCTCTGCTTAACTGTTTAAGCACTGCTCCATAAAGGCGTATGGGGTGTGGATGTATAGATCCACATTTTCTTGACATCGGTATTAGTTGGAGATGAGTGGTCAGCTTCACGCCCCAGCCTCTTTACCCGCAGGAAAGAGCCCTCGGTACCTCTTGGAAAGTAGGCTGGGTGAGCCCCAGAACAAGTCTGAACGACGTGGAAGAGTGAAAATTCTTGCCTCCACCTAAACTCGAACTCCGACCCCTTGGTCTTCTAGCCCGTAACCAATCACTATATCGACTGAGCTATCCGGGCTCCACAGTGCATTCTGTAACATTCTTAATCTACTCAACAGGAACGTGGGTTTTATGAATTCAGCAGGGAGCATCCTGTCAGACTTGGGGTTTCAGCAGAGGTCGGGGTGATAATGTATTCTTATTCAAATGGATTTCAATTTATAAATCTGTAAATGTTCACTTGATGATTTTAGAAACACGGACTAGAACTTGTTTAGAAGAAAACACGCGAATCACAAGAACTGCCGACAGAAGACAGGAAGAATATATGAATGCGCTAGGTATTCAACTGCCACAGAAGACTCCATTGCAGCCCTGTGTGTCACACAACAAACAGAAAATATGAAACAGCTGAAACAACAGCAGGCCGCGGTAGCTTAAGCAGTTAATTCCGCGTGTGAAGGCCGCCTTTACAAAACAACAAATGTTTCTGTAACACTCAAGTACGGGAGGATTTGCAAGGCTCAAATAAATTATCGTCATGGTCGAATTACTAACATTCCTGCTTCATACTTGAGGAGTTATGGGTTCGCATCTCGGCTAGGAGATCGGTGACCATAACTGAGGCCCTACGTGGTTACCCTCAGTTCCTCCCACCAAATGTCGGCATTGTACATTGTACTTAAGGCCATCCCAACACAGATCCACATCCCTTCTCATTTATTCATTAATGATTCTACAAATCATTGACGTCAAAATTTTCAGATCTGCTCTGGGGCCCACCCAGCCTCCTGCTCAATGGATACAGGGTGGATTTCCCTTAAAATAAAGAGACCGGAGTGTGGAGCTGACCATTCACCTCCATCTAGAGCTGAGTTCAAGAATGATGGAGCTATACCTCCACTCCCGCATATGTCTTCATGGCATAGAGCTTAATTAATTAAACATGGGGACAAATTTACCTTTTTTGAGAGATCATTGATGCAGTTTCAAGAATCAGAGATTGTTAAATAAAATGGCTATAGNTATATATCCTAAATATATATATAAATATAAATATATATCCTAAATCACTCTCAAGTCACAAACTTAGAGTAAAGATGGTGACAACAGTTTTGAAGTTAATAATTTTAAGCCTAGAAGCCGGAAGAGGCCTTTAGAAAAAGCCTAACCCATGCTGCTAAGGATCGTTAATCGTTAATGTCGGACACTATACAGTGTGAACTCATGAAAGCCTACTTAAGTAAACTGGCAAGAAGTTGGTCACAGGTCCTCAAGTTGTGACGTGTGGCAGTCGCGACGAATCTTATGTTGCAAGTCAAGTCAATTAATACAGAACCAAGATTTATTTTAAAATTAATCGTGCACAACTATTTGTCTACATGTCTCAAAGCAGGTCGTTAGGGCTACCATCTGTCTTCTCACTAATCCAGGCAGCATAGCCTCTACGGGGTGGCACCCTGTTTCAGGACATCCCCTTCAGGCAGTATATTAGTGCAGTGTATTAGCGGTAGTGTAGTTTGTTGAGGCACTATGCTACAAGCCGGAAAGTCACGGGTTCGATTCTAGATTAAATCATCAAAATTTTAATTAACCTAATCCTTCCAGCCGCACTCTGACCCTGGGGTCGACTCAGCCTCTAACAGAAATGAGTATCAGGAATTAATAAAATAATTTTCCTGGGGAGTAAAGGGCGGCCGGACGCTGTGACGGAAACCGTCACTGGTGTTCTATTGTTAAAATAGTTTTATTTACAATATTACACGTATTAAAGATAAGCAGCGGCACGCACACAGGGAGCCTGCACAGAATAATACCTGAACAGTGCTGAAAGCAAGAAGTAGCCGCTGCAGCACTGTAGACCTAGAGCACTTATCCCTGTGAATTTTAAATTTTAAAGTTGAAAAAAAAAAATTAATTTAAATTGAAGGTTTTAAAAATACCAAAATTCAAAAATCAAATTGAGGTATGTAAATTACAAAGATTTTATACATATCTGACAAATATCAGCAAGGGAATTCTAATATATCGGGACCTGTTAACAACGGAGAATTGAACAATTAAGAAAGCTGGTGTTTTTAAATTTTAAACTACGTGCAGTGTAACAGCTACGTGAGAGAAATACACCTGATGATGGCCATTTACGGCCAAAATATATAGTATAGAAAAAAAGAAGACGAAAAAACTACAATAAATTGTTGCACTTAAGACGGAGTTTGTGTCATACATAGTTTCATTTACATTGTTGCACTACATGTTTTGAATCGTTCTTAGCTTCATTTAACGTGCTATTCCAGAATCTTCCTGAATACACCAAAGAAACCCACTAAAAGCCTTAATCAGTATACTCGGCCCAAGAATTGAAGTCTCAATCACTTGAATATGAAATAAGAGTGCTAGACATTTAATTGCGACCTTCATCACCTAAATTATGAATAACATTCCATGGGGCTGAGTCCTTCTTGAGAAGTTACTAGTTGCTTAGCTGGCCAGTCAATAACCACCATTATAAGGGAACCGAAGTTTCATTAAGACCTTCATAAAAGCCCGCCACTGTTCGCTCTCCTGAGGTTAGGTAATGTAAAGTTGCCCCATGCTTTAACTAGTTGTGCTTTACGCCATGATGGTGTATGGAGGGAGTGGATGTATAACCTGAGACAAGATGAAATCCAGTCCACATCCTCCCATCCTATATTTTTAAGATCCATTTTTAGTTTATTTCATTTTGAAAAAATCAATAGGTTTATGAGATTACCTTGCTGTCTGTGTGTGCCTGTGTGTTCCAATTTCGTTGCTATGCAACAGCTTCGTAAACACGTTCCCATTGCAACGAATGCACATGGTGCGTTTCGTATGAAATACTCGTAGTGAAAGGTGGGTACGCGATTAGTTCTTCCAGGAACTTCTTGTAAAGTTATACTACCATTTATGCCTACGTCTTCTGAACTGTCACTATCTTTCATATTTTCCTACTAAAACTCTGGATTCACCTCTGTTCTCTCCTCTACATGCTACACAATATAACAATAATTATTTTTATAGTTAATTTATTTATCGATCATGAATATTTCGAATAGCACGCGTAGTCTAGCCGTGAGCGATGAAGTTGACGAATTTTCATTGTTAGAAGCCGCTACCTAGCAACGACTAGTGAACACATAACAGATTAAGAAGACGTAGTTTGTGCTCTAGTGATTCATAGAGTGTGCAGAATGTGAGGAGTTTTAACTATTCTAGGCACTAATCATAAACGTTCCATAAATCCAATTATCAATCCAACCTCCGTATTTAGTCACCAATACGTGACAACTGGTGTCAGAAGTGAGATTAGTTTGAATCGTTGGATTAGCGAGTTCTCAAAATGACCCACTGTGGCGGTTCATTAAGGGCGGCTTCAATCAGTTGAGGGAAGAACTCACGCCAACGAAAAAAGATGGAGACCACTCAAGAGAAAATGGAAGTCAAGACAAGAGGCAAAACTAGTAGACCCGGAGGCAAAAACGAAAATGGTGTTGGATGAGCAGTCCAGGATTAAAGAGGCTAACTTTTTATTGACCCCGGAGCTGAAGCTCAAATCAGAAGATCTTTCGCAAGAAGCTGACGCCCAAGTGAAGAAACTCCAATCTGTAGCATCTGCTCAAAGGAACGAGACAGAGCGGCTACTGTTCTAAGTGGCAGTTCTTCTGAAAAGAACGTTTATAGGAAGCTCTATGAGTGCTGTTACTACAGGTAAAAGCTGTCCCTGTAACAGGCTGTGAAGGCCCATTGCGTTGTCAGACGTCGAGGCTCCCACATTTTCTAAACAATCGGCTCACAGATGGCGGTAAGGTTGTCAGACTTACGCACCAGCAGCCCTGTATCCCCCAGGAAGACTCCTGGTACTCATTTCTGTTAGAGGCTGAGTCTACCCCAGGGCCATAGTGCGGCTGGAAGGATTAGGTCAGTTGAAAAAATTTACCTCATCGTTTTTAGCATAATGCCTCAGCCAACTACGCTACCGCGTGCCCCCGCTGTCACTACAGACGAAAGTAAAGATTACAGAATACAATAGTCCGTGGATGAGCTGTGGAAGGCAAGAAACATAGTGCGGGACAATCCACAATGAACCAAGCGCTAGCCAATCAGCGCGGACCACTGCAGCCCCAGCGCCCATTGGTTCGCGCACTGTAACGATAATGTACCTCAGGCAAGATAGTCGCAATTGTAAGTAGGAAGCATTCACTGCTACGCAACGGCTATATAATCATGTATCCGCGGAAACAGATCGGCACAACACGGTAACGGAAACCAGTGATCTCTCTACGGTCAGCCCTAAGCTACATAGCCTGGACTAATACAGAAGCGGAGAATCTTCCATCTTCCGAGGCGTTACTACGTAACGGCTAACGAAGGCACAACAGACTGAAGTTCGTCCGCGTATTCGTTATCATCATCATGATCAGTAATCTGTCAGGCGACAGGTCCACAGTCTCTTCCAAAACAGTTTCTCCACTTAATGCGATCTTCTGTTTTTGGAAAGAGACTATCCAGGAAAAGTGATAATGTGGTAGTTTTTCCATTTGCTTTCCACATCGCAGTACAACAGCCGTTCAAACCACTCTGGTCACGCCTGTTGCTATACGAACTTGAACCATCTCGAGCATCATTTGCTCTGTGCTTCAAGTCGCTGCTGATGACGCTGCTTCCGACATCAGTTTTTGGTGTCTCTCTTCGTCTGATGCCTACCCTTTGACCTGTCCAGCAAGGGAGGCCCTGCCAGTAGCTACGCTACCGCTGGTATAGCTCTCAGGGTCCTTGGCATACTCAAACCCCCTCACCACGATAAGGTGGAGACACCAAGGAGGGGGTATTCGTTATAGCGACAATAAATATTTGCATAGAAGTTTAATTCGCGGTTGCCTCTTCAAGCATCGACTGCCTCACATTAGAAGCAGACACAATCCTCAAGTACATTTACAAGTTCCCAAATAATGCTTATTTATTCATGGAATGTCTTTGTGCACTTCCTAACACCGTTGGTGAAGAGCTTGAAGTACATACTGAGAATCTGTCTGAATATTTCGGTATGATAGAAGACAGCTGTGAGTCAAGGAATGGTGTATCGATTGTGGCGAAGCAGAAATTTCAGGCAGTGATCAAATTTCGGTAACAGAAACGAATCCGAGGAAAATATAAATATCTTAAGATTGATTACACCCAAATTAATAAAAGAAAATATATTTTTCAGCAGTAACGTTTGAGATCTGTTGTGAGTTCGCAGTCAGGACACGTAGTTTATTGTTAGTCATGAGAACGGAAGTAGATGAATCTCCATCGTTAGAAGCCGATACCTAACAACGACTATTGAAGACGTAGCATATTAAGGAGACTTAGTTTATTCTGTAGTGATTTGTACATTGATTATATTATAAATAGGGTTAAAATTATATGTATTTATGAGTCATAACGATGAATAAATTCAATTAACAATCCAACCCCCATGTCTAGTCACTAGTACATGAAAATAATATGCTTAATTCAGCAAAGAGTCTTCAAAATTGAAAGTTAAACCCGATATTCCATTACCAACAGAACAAAACAAATGCTACGACAAACAATCTGATGAAATTTCGTATGAAAAGCCCGATTATAAATCCCCATTTAAACCATTTATCATTTACAGTACTTTAAATTAATGAGTTCATATTTACACTTATAACGGATATTCATAAAACGTACGTAGGTTTTTCAAGCTTGCTATCGAAAAATATACAAAGAAACGCTTATGAAAGTTCGGAAAATATAATCCTGATAACACATATCAAGTGATGGCAGGACTGTTTTGTCACTGTCTATTTTACAACCTAGACAACATTATATTTTTATAATCGAATTCAGCCATTTATATAAAATTGTGCTTAAAAAAATTAGAAATAATAAATTGTTTTGAAAACACATCTCGTCTGTTTTATCTCTGAAATTTCCTGAAGTGCAGATGAACCTGAATGACAAGAGAACCCGACGTTTCAGATGAACCGCACAAGTTCCAACTCCGCACTGGAGCCGCTCGCATGCTGTCACTTGTGGAGTTACCAATAGGAACCTTAACTTCAGATTTCAGTCACCAGGTTTGTGTTACTCAGATTTTGTTTGCTGGACTTCCGGAAACGTTTACCACTTCCGTTAGCTTATATTACCGTCTCATTAATGCTGTAATGCTTACTATACATTAGACATGAGGCGTTCTCGGTGATGGTAATTTAGATATTGATCTTCTGAATTTTGTAGTCTCGTGGGTTGTTACAATCAGTGCGGAGGAAGCTGAAATTTCCATATTGAGCCCTGAAGAAGGAAGCATCAGATTTTTTCGAAACGTTCGTAATCACCTACAAGACTAATCGGGTGTCATAGCTAAATTAAAATCTTATGTTTAGTTTCACTCATTCTGTGTGATATAACAGTCCATTCATATACTTGTTAACTAAGGGCCGCGCCGTAGCTCAAGCGGTTAGTCGCTGGTGCCAACCGCGGCGGCCTGGGTTCGATCCCGGGTCTGGTCAAGTGGGATTTGCGGTGGAGACAGTGGCGGGTTTTTTCCGAGTATTTCTGTTTCCCCTGCCAATCTTCATTCCACCCAATTCTCCATCATCATAATCACCTGGGGCAGGCTACAATAGGCCAATCAGTGGCCGCCGTGCCAAGAGGACCCAGCTGGACTCCACCCCCCACTAAGCGAATTACTTGTTAACTACTTTATATATGACTTTCACAATTTGCACAGTTTTGTCCGAAAAGGCCATACTAAAGGTAAAGTTGTCCCTGTGCTTAAATAATTAAGCACTACACCATGAAGGCGTATAGGGGAGTGGATGAATAGATCCGCATTTTCTTGACCTCGGCAATAGCTAGAGGTGATTGGTCAGTTTCACGCCCCTGCTGCTTTACACCCGGGGAACGAACCTCCGGTACCCATTGGATAGGAGGCTGGTGGGCCCCAGAGCCGGTCTGGACGACGGGGAGAAGAGAAAATTCTTGACTCTTCCAGATGGGTTTGTCTCCTGTGAATATGTATGGCCTTTCGTCAAGTGTGCGCATCACACATATAGCATGTTATTGAAAATTCTTCCTTGTGCACTGTATAAAAGTCCTCTGTCAGTACGGGTTTTGCAAAGCAGATCATGCCTATCTTACGTATCTTATGCTACAACGACAGCTTAGTCATTTGAACGGTAGTAAGTTTGACCATCGCCAAGTTCAAGCCTCTCGTACTTCCATGTGTGGCTTCACCATATTCAATACCGCAGGTACGTTCATTCTCAAGATTTTGTATGACTTCTGCTTGTTTCCTGCACAATTTTATTATGTAATCGTATACATCCGGCAGGTTGAAAGCCGTGTGCAAATCGCGGACCTGTGCGCACCTTAGAAAATTTCCAGTTCTTTTACAGCCTCGGCACGGACCTCATAGAAACGCCGCTTCTAAAAAATTTCCTGTTGCATGGTTATTCGTTAGCGCGAAAATGTGTTAACCGTGCCGTTGTCTAGCAATTTATGTCTTTTCTGATTCTGCTACTACGTCTTTCATCCATGTATACACAAACGATTCGGGAACAAATATAACAACACAAAAAAAATCAAACAGATCCATAACTGTTATTTGAAATATTTCTCGATATAGCGAAAAACCTTTAGTGTGACCCCTCAGCCAAAAGTACCAAATTCTATCCAGACCCATTAAACATTTTCGGAGATGTAGCATGCTGATCAAAGGATGGACCCGATATATTACATATGACTTCAGTTAGTGTCTTTTGTGTAAGGATCTCATAAGATTAATTATACAAACAAGCAGTTACAACGTAATATCGCCATGTAGGAAAGAGCCTTAACTATATCTGGTTCGACTCTGTTTTCCTCATCCTATAACGATCTCCAGTTTTGCATTATTCTGAAAGAGAGGGACAGATGTTTGTGTACGCATGCGTACAAGCATGCATGCGTGCTCATGTTATTTTAGCAAAGTAGTTAACTAACATTATTATAGAGAAGAAATTGTTATCTCAGTCTAAAATAACAGCCAATTCCAGGCTACATTCTCTGACTGCAGATGTACGAGTAACTCCATGGAGCGAATTGCGTTCTTAAGAATCCAATAATCGCTCAACTGCTACGTACATTTTCTGCCTTTTTTTTGGGGGGGGGGTTGTTTTGCGGAATTTTTAATATCACAGACTTCACAGCGTCGAGTGATACGATAGTAGATGAATTAAGAACTGGAAGCAATCTGGAAGGAAACGTTCGTTATCCCGTCATTTGCCTGAAGGGGTTTAGGAAAACCATGAAAACCTCAGTCAGAACATCCGGTGCCCCGATCTCGATGTGAACCGAACATCTCCTGAACACACGTCTGAAAGTGTTTCCTCTAGGTCAACCTTTTCGGCCTCAGCCTTTTACAGGAACCCAAAGGTTTCCTGCCGTCTTCAGAAGGTTCCATAATTGGTACTTGTGTTGAACCTGAAGAGTCTTACCCACCCCACAAAGGAAATTTCCGTAATTTCTATTTTAATATTATAATCTGATTTAAAAAAAGCGTCTCCTAAATAGTGTCGCCACTTCCGTTTTCCAGATAACTTTCCGAATGCTTTTCTCATCTCTTCCATATATGTCACGTGCCTCGCTTTCGCGTAAATGGTTTATGACGGTGTTTTATGGTTTCAAGATTCTTAAATAATTTAAGGGTAGAATAAGGGCTAATTTTAATCCTTGTTAAGGTTATCAATGGCCTATCTTATAAGACGAACAGGGCTGTACTTCAAATCTCAACATGCTAGGTGGGTTTGCCATGCTAGTGGCGGGAAATCAATACCCCCCAAAGTTCTCTATGGTAGCAAAAGGGGGATAGAAGACGGGGGAGTGCAATAGTTACATTGAACCACCACTAGAGAGCTCTCTTGATAGTTCGGAAAAGACGGCCATATTGTAACGGTCCCAGTTGTGATGTCCGCGAGAGAAATTAATGGTTATATAAAAGATCTATTCATCAAGGGGTGCGTGTAATGGAGAAATAGATGTCAGGGGGCAGTAGCTTGATTCAGTCGTCATCTGGTTGTCACGTGGTTCTACTCTAGATATAACAGTACTATTCAAGCTACAGGTTAAGGTTAGTAATTCATTTATTTTATTATATATTTACGGTTTATTTAACAAGGCTGTCAGTAGCTTTGAATATCCTGTGTCGAGTTATAGGATAATTAATGAATAATAAACTCAACAGGATGCGAGAGGAAGTGATCGTGACCTAATTTCTAAATACTACTACGACATTGCCTGGAGAGACTGAGGAAAATTACGAAATAATTCTGTCACTATGGTCGGTCTCTGGGCGTAGATTTGAACCGGGGACCTCAGGAATACTAAGCAGAAGGGTAAAACACTCACCAGTGACGCCCGGTGAGGTTGATGATTACACGCCATTATACTGTCAGTTCTCAGAAGCACCCTATACTTCAATAAAAAATTCTCATTAAATTTTTAAAATATCCTGTGGCTACATATCGGACTCATGTAAATTGCTGCTGTGTGCCTGAAATATTGAGCAGAATTCGCATTATTATTATTATTATATTATTGAAGCAAAGGCAAATTTGTCTTTATTAATTAATTAATTAATTAAGCGTCACGCCATGAAGAAGTATGGCGTCGCGGAGGTATAAAGCCACCATTCTTGACTTCGGCACTTGATGGAAGTGAGTGGCCAGCTTCATGCCCTGGCCGCTTTACCCCTGGAGAAAAAGCCGCGGTACCCATCTGAGATGGAGCTGGGTAGGCCCAAGATCCGGTTTGGACACTGTGGAACAGAGAAAAATCTCTTGTACCAGCCGGGAATTGAACACCGGCCGTCCAGCTCATAGTCTGTCGCGGTACCCGCTCCTAGAGTCTCACCCAGTTCTTAGTTTAAACTGCAGAGCTTACAGATCGCCGATTGTGGCGGGTAGCAGGTTTTCTTTTTATTGTTAGTGGGGTGGGACTAAGTCCCAAGCTCAAGCCGTTAGTCGCTGGTTTCCCACCGCGGCGGCCCGGGTTCGATCCCGAATCTGGTCAGGTGGAATTTTTGGTGGACAAAGTGGCGCTGGGGCAGGTTTTCTCAGAGTACTTCGGTTTCCCCTGCCATCTTCATTCCACCCATTGCTCCACAATCACCCTCATCTATCATCTGGGACTGGTACAATAGGCCAGAAGTGGCCGCAGTACAAGGGACTTGGTCCCACCCCACTAGCATTAAAAAATCTGTAACTCGTCTTCAGCTACTACCGAGGTTAAGAGTACGTGGAACTGTATCTCCGCGCCCCTTATAAATTTTCATGACGCGCTGCTTAATTAAGAACAGGAACAAATTTTGCTGATTATATTTACATTTATAATTCTGTAAGTTTAAAGCAATAAATTAGATCAATTTTTGCAGTAAGTTTATTTAGTCAAAAAAGAGAGTCACGTGGCATAGTTTTCCAAGACTTCCCTGCTCAAATACAGTATATACGAGACAGGACTGACACCTTGGAATGGAACGTTTCGACCCGGTGCGCGCTATCGCTCTCTGCTGACAGGCAGCAGCGAAAAGCAATTACAGAACAGAACAAATTTACCTTCATTTACTGCACATGTCTTATGGCACCACACTGCAAAGTTCATTTCCTTTCTGTCAGGCCAACCCCGATCTTGTCGACTGAGCGTTGTCCCGATGCACAGCACGTCAGGCCACAGAATGTCATTAAATGTTCTGATTACACGAGATGAATGCCTTTATATGAAACAACGCCAGTTATTGAAGTCGTGTTTAATGTCCATTATATATACAACAGTTTATTTATACGAACTTTAAATTAATAAGTTAAAGTCAATTAAAGTGAAATATGATCCTTGAAGTTTATATAAAACATGAACACAGCCATCTGTGAGCCGATTGTCTAGACAAAATTTGGGAGCCTCGAAGTCTCACAACACTATGGACCTTCACGGCCTCTAACAGGGATAGCTTTACTTTATTACGCCAGTTAGTGGGATGCGAATTGCTAGAGGAAATTGAAACGCTCGGAGAAAACTTGCCTCAATGCCAATTTTTCCATCGTAA